TAATTTCCATTTTATTTTACTTTGAGTAAATATTCTGACTTTGTTCAGAGCTTTCTATTGACTGGTGGCTTTGGGTAATTTTACTTGATGTACTTACTTAATAGAGATTTTGTTTTACTTTGTGTGTGTGTGTGAAATCCTGTTCTTTGAATATTAAAAGATGATGAGTATTTGTTGGAACATATTAGATAAAGCTGGTGAGTTATCAGCCTTCTTTCTGGTAATTGCTGTTCTGTGGAGAAACTGAGCATTTATAGCATCTGAAGATTCAGCAGCTGAAACATCTATCCCTCATCATCTATAGATCCCTTACTGTTTATGTTCTGGATTCTGTTCTGGGGACTCAAGAAAACAGACATGTTCCTTGCCCTTCCAGAATTTGTAAGACACATGAGTCCCCAACAATAATGATGATAACAGTGGCTACTATTTATCGTGTGTTTACTGTGTCCTGAGAGCTTTTTCAAGTTCTACCTATATTAACTCATTTAATCTTCTTACTTGCTACAAGTCAGTATGTGGCAAATATGAATTCATATCTGTCAATCTGGCTCCAAAAATTCCACTAAACTGTGCAATTATGACAGATATATATGGCATAATTTAAATGGATAATGAAATAGGCAGTTGCAATAAGTGTGATCAGGGCTGTGATAAAAATGCTCACTTTCATTGGAGTGCAGATGAGTCTCCCCTCGTTTGGTCTTATTAGGGTCAGGTAGCAAGGTAATTGTTTCTGAAGGTGAAGTTTGGGTAAATCTTTGCTTAAGAAGCTTTTTCATTAGCTGATGGTGACAGCTCACACATGTAATTCAAGTGGGAGGACTTTCAGAAGTTTGAGGTCAGCTGGGTACATAGTTTCAGGCAAAAGAAACAAAGGGAGGGGGCGGAGACAGGAGGGAGGGAGGGAGGGATAAATAAAATAAAATAATAAAATAATCTTCTGGCTTTTTTTTCACCATAGTTAAGAATCAGGGAATTAAAAAAATTTTATTAGAGCTAGTTATTTGTGGTATGGGTGTAGAAGTTACAAATCAACCCTAGAAGTTGGGTCTCGCCTTCTACCATGCAGGCCCCAGGGATTGAACTCAGGCCTACAGTTGGTGGCAAGTGCCTTTATTCGCTGAGCCATCTTGTCAACCCTAGGCAATACTTTTTACATTAATTGTGTGTGTGATGAATGTACATGTGTGAGGGTGTGTGAGCATGTGGAAGCCAGAGATGGTAGTTGGGTGTATTGTCGTATCACTCTGCCTTATTCCATTGAGGGTCTCTGATTGAATCTGGAGCTAGGGTGGTAGCCAGCAAATCCCCAGTGATCCTCCCGTGTCCACTTCCCACAGCCCTGTGGCTACAAGCATGTGTGGCCTTGCCTGGCTTTGTGTTTATGTGAATGCTGGGAATTTGAACTCAGGCCCTTATGCTTATGCTTGGGCAGGAAACACTCTTATCCACTGAGCCATCTCTCTAGCCCTCTAAAAATATTTTTTTAATTTACTAAAAGATGATGCTCACACACCTGTGTGTGTAGCCCCAACTATTCAGGGTAAGATAGGAGGACTGCTTGAACCAGGACAAAAAAGACCTTGTTGACAGATGCAGAGACAGACCAAGTGATGTTGGATATTGGGGTTTTTATGTGAAAAGATTTAATTGATTTTGTGCTATTTAGATTAAACAATAGAAGTATCTTTGATTTATCACTTATGATCTGTTGTCATACTGTAGCAAAGATTGACATTTCTAAATTCCTGCTACATAAAATGAACTAAGGTAGCAAGTGCATTTTATAGAATGCATTTTAGTAACAAAGCTTTCAGAGATGCAGCTACTTATGCCTGCATCAGATGGTAATTTAGACACCCTTAAGAACAGAATTGGACAGTTTTGTAATCTCTCCATGTTGACTTACTATATTTATCAGTTACCAATCTTGAGTGCTTTTCATTTATGATGAGGTGTGAACACTCTTTAAAGCATTTATTTGGAAATGTTTGGGGATCGATAATACAGTGAGGCTATGAAACTATTATAATAGATGATTCTGATAATGTAGCTTTAGTCTTCATGATGGATGTCATTATAGACACGAAAGCTTCAGTTTTCATTAATAGTTTTTTTCATAGTCATACTGTTTTACAGATTTCAGGCCTTTTTGTTTTGCTTTTTTGTTTTTAATTTGAGATAAATTCTCACTGTGTTGTTAAGACCAGTCTCAGACTCAGCTTCAGCCTTTGCATCCTCCCACTTGACCCTTTTGAGTGCAGGATTTCAAGCATGAGCCACTGCTGCACCTGGCCAGAGTTCCGCTCTTAATTAGAAGCCTCAGCAGGTCAGGTTCAAGGTGTTTTACTAATATAGTCTTTTTTATTTTTTCTGTTGTAGAGATCAAACCCAGAGCCTCACATGTGGCTGGAAATCACTCCATCACTGAACCAGTTTCCAGTTTAGAAACTTTACAGTAGTTTAAAATCTGCATGATAGTTTTGTGTTTGGCAGTCTCCATGGTTTATCTCTGTATTTCACATTGAACAGCTTCCATGTACCATTCTCATTTCTGAGATCATCTTCACCATGCTTGTGTGATGGTGCTCCTTCCCTGTCACTGCCTACTCTTAAGCCAGTGGCCTTCTGACTGTTCTCCAGCCCTTGAGGGTTGCTGCAGTATTTTGCTGTGTTCTCTGCCATTTTGTGAGCCCTGTGACTGACACAGATTTATAATGTTCTTCTCCTGCCTTTTCTACTGTGAACAGCCAAGCTCACTGCTAACTTAATTCTCTGTGTAGTTAGGGAGTCTGCTTTAAACTCCCTGTCAGTTGATAAATTTCATAGGTGGAAGCTGTGTCACTCATCTTTTACTTAAAAATATAAGTGAATATATACATACAAAAAATTTGGGTTTTATTGCTTTTAATTTTTCTTTAACTGTAGGATTTCTCTTAAATTTTTATATATTCATGTTTATTCATCTGTGTGAATAATATGGCTGAAAATTAGCTTTTTCCTAGAGTAATATTGTTTTGTGATGATCATCAATATTTCTATGAGTATTTTATAGGTTGTGATGCCTTGTTTTACCCTGTGTCTAAGAGTAGCAGTGAGAAGGGCCTACAGAAAGCCTCTTGAGATGTATACGAGAGTGGTGTGCCACTTAGCACTTCGCAGAGCTAGCTGTTAAATAAAAATGAGCTCCAATGAATGACTTCTGCTCAGAGTCATGCAGTTTTTTTATGGCTTCTTACCATAGCTTTGGCTCTGGCAGATTGGACTATGGTTTAGTTACCAGAGGACACTCTTGTGTACTCTTGTGGTCTTCACCAAATTGTAAATGTCAACAGATACTTCTTAAATGTCTGTTAAAGAAGATGTGTATCAGTGATTCTATAGTAGACAAAAAAGAAACAGATTAATTTGGGAATTAGCACTCCCAGAAGATTAGTTTAAAAACTAAACAGCAGGAGTTGTGATGTGTGTCCATAAGCAATTGTAATGATTTGACAGTTACTTAGCCCCTGGTTCCTAGCCCTTAGGTTGAATTGACAGCACTTGTACAAAGGTAGTAAGGCCTGTTTTGGCTCCATTAATGTCTTTCTGAATGTTAGCCTGCAGTCTGGATAATAAATGACTGTGATATAGTCCCTTTTTTTATTTTTTTAACCTCTTTTAAGTATTTTTCATCTTTACTGTGATAGTT